GAGCAAGCAGCTGTGTGGTGCTCAGTTGCCAACTGAGGTTAAACCACAACAGAACCCTAAAGAATTAGACTACTTATTGACACAGCACAAATATATTAGTAAAGCAAGTACTTAAATACCATGACATTAAATAAACTGAGTTTCAATGACTGCCCAACACAGATTTAGCTTCTTCCTACCCGAAACTGCAACTTGCTAAAATAAAACGAATTAACATTTAACAAGAGCTACTCATCTAGTAACTCTAAGGAGCAATTCATAAGACACTGAAAAATTACAAGGCGGTGTCTATTGAAGTAACTCTGGAAAACACCTCAAATATATTCTACAACCTACAGTTAGTAATTTTTTTTTTTTGAGGAAATGCAATTACATTAGAAAATACTTTCCTCTAAAACTTCAACGATCATTTCCTAAATTATTTATATGACCTTGTTTAAACAATATCTTTCACTCTTTCATCTTCTCTTATCCTTCCCAGTGGCATGTAATAATAAGTAAGAACTGAGAGATTATACTTCAGACAGCAGATAAGGATGGATTTACAACTTCATTCAATGCTTAGTGGGAGATTTTCCACAGGCTTAAACACAGCCAATCAATACAGACTAGCTAACATGAGTAATTGTGTTACAATTTCAGTATTTCATGAGCATCAGCATATAATGATGCTGTGTAGTACTACACGGCCTTAAGAGATACCACTGTTTTCAATTATTTAAACAGGGGAGAGTAACTCTCTACCTTTATTACACAGATTTCACTTTTATGCAACTACTGAAGCCCAACTAAACACTTCAATGTGTGTAATTAAAGGAGAAATGAGGAGAAGGCAAAACATTACAGTAAGCATTACTAGAAGTCTTGGGAATACCTTTGCACGTAGCCAATGCTAACACAGCGTTCCCTTCTCAGGACTCCACTCTGACAGTCAAAAGAAGTCAGACAACTAATGATGACTACACAGGTAAGGTACGGTCAGTTTGTTTTAACTCAAAGTATTCAGAAACAAATTATACTGCCCATTTAGCTAGAAAGTATGACTATACCATTTAAACAATCCCTCCATATTGTCTGTTTCACTTATTTTCAGTGATTAAATTCAGTTTTACTTTCTCTAGACAGGCACTGCATATTTCACTGCATATTTCAGGGTGCTTGTCTGACAATGAGTGCATTGGCATTCCAGTCCTGTGGGGTACCTTGGCATAACCACAACACAAATCCTTAAAACACTGAACAGTATGAATGTAAAACTTCGCCTAAATATGCTGCGATGCATTTAGTCTCAAGTACACAAGATATAGCTGTGGAATTTTGCAAGGAAAATGAGTATCTCTGCAGAAATGTAGTCAATCCATATAAAGGATAAGTGGATCTATAGTTAAGACTAAGCAAAGCAGGAATTGGTGAGCTTTGCTTTATGGACAACAAGGAAAAGATGTGATTTAAGTACAACTACCACAGTTCAGAATCAATCATCGTAAAGCAATTTACTCCTCCTTAGAAGATGATGTATCAAATTGACTAAAGGCAAAGACATAGTGATACTTTATAGACAGATGAATAAGAATTAACAATACTTTAAAATGCAATTTAACAAAAATTTTTTCTTTGGTAAGATCATAAACATTTGAGTGGAAACCACCATTTCAGTCATCAGGTCATTTTCCTTACAACTGCAATGCAGAATCCCTGTAAAACAGTGTAAATCATGTGCCACTACTGGGTTTAATCACACTAATTAAATAGTGGCATATTCATCTATGCTGCTGTTGTGGTTTAACCCGGCAGGCAGCTAAACACCACGCAGCCGTTGGCTCACCCCCCCCCTCAGTGGGATGGGGGAGAGAATCAAGGAAGAAAAAAAAAAAGTAAAATTTGTGGGTTGAGATAAAGACAGTTTAATAGGACAGAAAAGGAAGGGAAAATAACAATAATGATGATGGTGATAAAAGAATATACAAAATAAGTGATGCACAATGCAATTGCTCACCACCCACCGACCGATGCCCAGCCAGTTCCCGAGCAGTGGTCACCCCCCCAGCCAACTCCCCCCAGTTTCTGTACTGAGCATGACGTCCCATGGTGTGGAATATCCCCTTGGCCAGTTTGGGTTGGCTGTCCTGGCTGTGCCCCCTCCCAGCTCCTTGTGCAC